CGGTAATAGCCGAAGGCAAAAAAAAAGTTATGGAATAAGGGCGAGAAGGAAGAGAAGAAGGATGAATAGTTGCCTAGCCGAGGAACTTGAGGCCGACATTTAGAGTGCGGTCCTGGAGTTCAAGACGCCGCCTAAAACGAGTGTCGGTCATAGAGAGGCATTGATTTTTCAATGAAAGAAAGCCCATCTCTTCTTCCCTCCCGCCTCAACAGCAGAGCTAGATGCAGATAGCAGATACAGATCTAGATGCGAGATGATCCCGAACCGATTTCATAACCACCATACATCACCAATCACATTCCACATCCCACTTCAAGCTTTTCGATTCCCCGGGTAGCCTCCTCTAAAAAGGCATTCCAGCTTCAGAGGCAGGTGAGCCGGGTCAGGAAGGAGTTTGACTGCTGGGATGGGATCGGATCCTACTCGAAGGACTCCACCACGAAGTTGAGTCTTCGGGTTGGATAGGCAGTAGAGATAGGAACTCCTATCTGTAGGGTGGGCTTTCAAGACAGAGATGCACTACTCCACCTGGAAAGGGCTTTCCCTCGTGGGGAAAGAAAAGAGAAGAACCAGAACCCTTATTTATTCAAATGAAAGGTCAGGCCAGAAGGGAGTCAAAAATCAATAGAAAAAAGACCTTCCTGGCCGACGGGACTCTACGTCTGGGTATTATTCCATCTCAAACTCGGATTAGGAAGAGTGCCCTTCCCTTGAACTAGAGATCAATCATAATAAACAATACAATAAAAGAAATGGATTCTCCTGCCGGCGAGAAAGGAAAAAAAAGGCATAAAAAAGGGGGAGAAGAGGAGATTAAGGATAGTCACTCCACTCCATAGATAGTGAATACAGATTCTTGTTTCATTTTCAATTCCTTTCGGGTCGAAAACGCGGGCTGCTGGTGGGGCCATGCCCCCTCTTCTTCCGCTTTACAACCAGAATAAGGAACCTTAGAATTAACCCTACCTGTCGATGAAAAAATGGGATTTGAGAGGAACACCAGCTAGCGGATCAGAAAGATTTG